TCAACATGGATTGGCATGCATTCATAAATGGTAATTAGTTGGAGAGTCATGTGTATTCTGTTGTAATATAGTACGAATGACTCACGGAATTTTCCTTTTCTTTAGACCAGGCTATGCCATCCCAACATTAGCGCAAATGAACCAAAGGTCAATGCCAGTTTTCCGATCTCCCACTCAGCCCACGAATACAAGCACCATGCTGCCATCAAGTTCGCTCTTCTATAAATTAATTAGCAGACAACACTCTATCCGACTTCACAAACATCCATCCCCACAAGTCTCAGTGGTCTTTAGACTATCGAGAATGCATGGTCAACGAATTTTTGGAGTGGCGACGTCGGGAATTCATTGCCCTTACTTCGGTTGGCTTTCCGACAAGGTCTCAGACGACTGGTCTGGATTTATTCCAGAAAGTGGGAGATGAGTAGTCGAGTGCCGAAGCTTGCTTCAAAAGATTTGGCTTTATAACCCTCGGAGCATCATTGCAGGTTTGTTACAAGCTCATGAAAATAATATTTTGAATCTACGCTTTTTTGATCATTGTCATTACGTCTTTTCTCATTCTTTGTTTGTTTTACCCAATACCCTTTTTCTTTTACATCCTTCCTCAACTTGTGTCTGATATGCAAACAGACTATACGCGTAAATTTGCCAAACGGTTGGGCGTTTGGCTCCAAATGGGTGGTAAACTCTATCTAAGGCTAAATATTGGTGAGAGGCCGATAGCAAACAAGTACCGTGAGGGAAAGATGAAAAGAACTTTGAAAAGAGAGAAAACAGTACGTGAAATTGTTGAAAGGGAACGCTTGAAGCTGAGAGGAGGGAGGATAGAATTTACACAAGTCCTGAAGTCAAATAAAAATATTACACACACATAATACATATTACACACAATCAATGAACACAACCATCAACATCACCGGGTCACTTGTTTTGAGTTCGGAAACCAAGTCGAGCAAAATTATCACACACCGCTTCCACTTCCACTAGTTCCAGAAGCACAAAGCTATGTATGAAGAACAGTCTGCAAGTAAGAAATCATAGGAACAAAATCTACAAAATTCGCTCATGCTTCACTGAACGAACGATTGCAAAGCGAACTGGATAAGAAGTCAGCGAGCCGAACGAGAAACTCGAGTAAGCAGATAACAGTCGGCACGATAGGCGATCAACCATGAATCGAGTCTGAAATAAAAAATACTGCACAACGGTAGTGGTTGATCACGAGAAGAAGAAGTTGATAAGTATCAGCAAAACAATGTTCAAATAGACAGCAAAGCAGTTGGAGAAAATTGTTAAAGGATAACCATAAGAAGAGGTAACGAGGGAAATTATTAATGAAGGCAAATCGACGATGCCATTAAGCCTTTGAGATTAAACGGTCACGAATAAGGCATAAGTTGAACGTAGGCAGAAACAGTAAAAAGTCAGGCATAATGATTGATGAACTATGAGTTGATCGAAGCTATTGATAGCTCAAGCAGAAAATGCCAAATAAAGACAAAGCCAGAGTCTCAATTCCAGCGAAATATCCGAATCCGCAAATCCACCGCTCCCATTATATCTACTGATCAGAGAATATGCGGCCAGAATGCCAATAGACAGGAGTTCTTTAAATACTATTACAAATAATGGATCGATACAGGGCAGCGCTTTTAGCTGCTAAAGAAACCGGTAAGCATGGTCTACAACTTGTTGTTGTTGTCCATATTGTTTGTCTTCGCTCACAACCGTCAATTTGTTTAATTTTGCAGAAAACATGAAGTTATTTTTATAAATTCGCAGCCACCATCAATCTATTATCCCTCGCCGCCGCCACAGTCGTACGCGGGTCAATGGAGACCCTCTATTACTTGCAAGCGAAGCAAGTATAGAAATACTATTATTAAATGCAGAGATAGTAAGAAATTTTATATCATTTTGTTCAATATAATGCATAAAACTAGTATGTGGCATTTTGAGATTTACAATAATAAAATTATCACTGGAATATTTGAACTCATCGCTTCAAGTTCATATCTCAGAGGTCTCTGGGCTAGTGAATAAAAGAATTTCTCGCGAAAATATAACACATTGTATCACTTACTTTGTTCACTCCAAGTTGAAATTAACTTTCTACTGTTACACAAATCCACGTGCAAAATTTTCTGCACGCAATGTCTGATGTAACAAGCGGAACGCCTTGCTCTCGATTTGATTGCAACCTCCTATTCAGAAAAGAAAATCAAGGCTTTGACGGAGTCAGAAAACGGCGATGAGAATGAGTCGGTATTGGCATGCGGTAAAATCGTAAGTATTATAAGAGGAAAGGGGGTGTTCTCCCGTCGGGATATTTTCATGCTCTTATTCACAACAATCTCTTTATAGGTACCTGATACAAAGAACAATTGTGAGGTGTCGGCTGCTTCTTTATGGCTCAAAGGGAAAAGGATGATTCTACATTTATTTGAATATTTCAAGAAATTGTCGAATCGACAATGGATGTCGAAGTCAATCAAGAGGTTGTCTGCAGAATTTCCTTGACCCTCTAACGCGTTTTCTCCAATCCTTTTGTTTTAACCGATGTGGTTCTTTACATAGGGAATAATTCTTCAAAGCATCTGGTGACCTAAAGGCTCTCTACAGTTGTCCCGTTGAAGAATTGGAAGGAACTAATACAGCAGCTTTAATACCTAAGCACGAAACAATTTTTACATTCGCGGACGGTTCATCAAAGACTGTTCTAAAATTGAACAATTAAACAAAACCAAATTTACGGCGCACTCTGTTTCTCAGAAGAAAATTGGAAAGATTGTGCGAAGAACGAGACCGCAAATGAACCGGGATCAGATGCAGTTGACGTATATCGGTTCAAAATCGTTTCCATCTCACCTATAGTCGGGGTTGTTGCTGCTTATTCATTGGGGATTATTCAGGCTTGTAGTACAGATCTGGCAGAATATTTGTTTGGGACAAGTGGGACAAGCATCGATCGGAAAGAAGAATATAGTCTTTGTTACCACAATTTCCGAGCTTGAACGATATTTTGAAATCAGAGCACCCTAGTCGAAGGAACTGTAATACCTGAGAGTGCGTTCCGTCATACTGCGATCTTGCTCAAGTCGACATATTCTAATGATGTATCGAGCACCAAACTTTCCACGTCTCCCTGCGGGCCGTCTGGCATTACCACGGTGCATAGAGATGGGACCGAATTTAGTGTTGATATACAGATGCGAGTAGTCGAATATGCTGACGAGCCGTTGCGTGCATTATGGATAACCTATGACAGAAGCCTGGTTGCGAAAATGACAAAG